CCTATTATGTTTGAAGGCGTCCTTCAGGGCACTTCACATCACTCAACACCCAAATCTTAAACCTTAAGTGTGGAGACGGTCATCAATTTTCTTCACTGGCTTTTGAAACTGCATTCCACACTGAGCCCTCAGAGGGCAAATAGGGGAGATCACATGGGTTTGGAAAGGTTTAAAATGGCAAATCCCATTTAATGTGTCGTTTCCCCAACTACACATCAATCTCATGTCTGAAACCTTCTTCCCAAGAGAGAAGGAGAAGATGGTTAGAGATTCTCCAACTAGAGAAGAGGGGCTTTGGGATCTACACACATTCTCCAACATATGTAAGAGGAGAACAGACACAGAATGACAGACTGAATGATAGACATAATATTCAATGGCAGATTGATCAGAAGAACGATACATAGACAAACAATAGACCAGTGATTTTTAAACTTGTTCCTGGGGACCCACAGCTCTGCACATTTTGCATGTCTCCTTAATTTACACACCTGATTCAGATCATCAGCTCATTAGGAAAGAGCTCCATGAACTCAAATGAGAGTGTCAGATCAGGGAGAAATGCAAAATGGTCTCCCTTAGCTTTGTCTGTTGATGGTGTTGCTCTGGAGATACAAAGTAAATTTAAAAACCTGGGCATTATTTTTGATCCCAGCTTGTCATTTGAACCTTTCGTGCTGAACACTTAAGACCTTGTACTTTCATCTCAGAAATATTGCACGGCTACGACCTATGCTGTCTTTCTCTGTTGCTGAAAGGTTAATTGATTTGTTCGTCTTTTCTCGTCTAGACTATTGTAACGCCCTTCTTATTGGAGTCTCAAAATCTTGTATTAACAAACTTCAACATTTACAAAATTCAACAGCCAGAATTCTTTCAGGGGCCAGGGTTGTTGATCATATAACTCCTGTTTTGGAATTATTGCATTGGCTCCCGGTTAGATTCCGTATTGATTTTAAAGTTCTTACGTTAACATACAAGGCACTGCATGGTCTGGCTCCTCAGTACTTGGCTGAGCTTTTAATTCCCTATACACCTAGTCACAATTTGCGATCTTCTCAGAGCGGTCTTTTAGTCGTTTCTAAAACACGGCTGCATTCTGGGGGTGATCGGGCATTTTCATCTTATGCCCCCAAATTGTGGAATTCTCTCCCGGCTGACATCAGGGAAGCAAATTCGTTAGGTATTTTTAAATCTCGTCTTAAAACTTTTTATTTCCGTCTTGCATTTAACTGATTGTTACTCTGTATTCTTGTGTATAACTTTGGATTTTTGTGTTTGCTTGTGCTGTAATTCACTTTGAGAAAGTACTATTTTAAAGGCGCTATCCTAAAAATGTATTATTATTATTATTATTATTATTAAAATGTGCAGAGCAGTGGGTCCCGAGGAACAGGATTGAAAACCACCGCAATAGACCAATTGATAATTTTTGTGATTTTATGTTGCATTGTTGAGATATATATATATATATATATATATATATATATATATATATATATATATATAG